CATATTGTAAAAGTTAACTATAACCGAATAAAAGGAGCCGGCCAAGAGGCCACCTTAACACCAAAAAAAAAATAAAAATAAAAAACATGATTAATAATAAGCAACTTTGAATATAAAGTACTTGCTCAAGAAAAAGATCTACCATTGATAAAATACATTATTAGCAATTAAAGAACAATAATTCTCTGCTAAGGCAAAAAAGACTCAACAAAAACAATTTTTATACCTCAATACTCTTTCATATCCAAAAAATTTTCTTTTATTTTTCTTTTATTTATTTGTATACAAGTCTATATACTATGAATAATAGGTAAAAGAGTATTAGATTAAATAGTTCTGGAATATTGCATCTGTCTGTTACAAGATCTAACTGTTGTTACAAGAAACTGAACTAGTTATCATTGCAAGACACCAGGCTTAGGACAAGATGCAAATATAATAGTTGTCTGTTGCAAAACCTAACTTGTCATCGCAAGATGCAGGTTTAAGACAAACTGCTAATACTTGCAAGAGTGTTTGAATTTGAAATAATATACTTATCTTTATATGACTATTGCGATTAATTAGAGATATATAGATGATATCTGAGAAAAAAATTTTTAGATAGGTTACATATTATAGTCATAGGGTTTAAAAGTTCAAACCACCAATAGATTTCAACCATATAATATTTAAGATTTCATATCACAGTTTATTAACTGAACACACCTTTTATATTAAACTTTTACTAAAAATACAGAAAATTGAAAGTTTCATCATGAAAGACTTTATTGATCCATATTTTCTTACTACTCTTTTTAAATAGTAAAAATTTAGCTCTTTTATTAAAACACGTTCTGAACCAGGTTTTATAAAAAGTGATTGCTTTTATTTTTATAAAGAAGAACTACAAAATATTTATAAATTATCAAAGTTTGACGACAAGCAGAAGACTATAGCATTGAAGCTAATTAAAAAATATAAAGTAGACAAAAAGAAATATACAGAATTGCTAAAAACTCATAAGAACCAAGTTATAGCCTATTTGATTAGATTGGGTATCCTCGAGAACAAAGTATCTTGCACTATCCTAACAAGTAGTTTTTATTAAGATATGTAATTTATAAATATTTTAAAATCATATATAGCTTAAATTATTGGCTAATACTGCAAGGTCTGCAAATTTTACGATTTACATGATGTTTACCCAAGCTAACATATTTATTAGCAAACATAAAATACAAGAAAAACAGATAATGATAGGCTATGATTTCTTAACAACTGATCCAAACTCTGAATCATTACAAGAAAATAAATATGATCTTGATAATAAAGTGGATGAAGAGGAGTATAATACAGAATGAACAATTGTTGATAGCAAAAGTACTAGTTGGGTAGTGAATAGGGTTAATATCTGTCAAAGACTCACAGAGTACTAGAAAACAAGTCTTCCAAGACCAGAATATTATGATATAATACTATTTATTGACAAAGATCAAGATGAGTTTTTGAGAATACTGGAGGAAAATATTGTTATATAGATATGTAAAAAAATAGAGAAAAAGGATAAAAAAACTGAAAATAATATTGAAAAAAATAAAGTTATTTCTAAATAATATTATTACTCACAATATAAAAAAAACTAAGAAAAATCTTAAATCACAAAAGAACGATACGTTCAAGAAAGATTTTGCAATATTTTTTGTAAACTACGTGTGAGTTTATATTTTGCTCAATAAATACAATAAGACTAATTAACTATAGTTTATATAGAATCGAGCTTATTGAAGATATAAATATACTTCTCAAGAATATATCTGAAGAGACATTTATTGCAATAGTTTTGGCACCAATTCTTAATCAACTTTTCATAAAAAACAAGAAGATTTAGTATGCAAAATATGGAGAAACATGTCTTAAAATGAGCATTGAAGAACAAAATTTTAGAAAACAGATGATGAGTGATGCTTACCTAGTGAGAAGATTGATACTATTATTATATTGAGAAATAATAATAATGAATTCTCTGTCACAGAAGTAAGCAGTTTTTTATTAAGAAAAAATTGGCCTTATTTTATTAGAGATTGGTTAAAAATAATTAAAATATCAAAAATATTGATGAATCAATTTGCAAAACTTCATCCAAACTCTGATATTAAAACAGTTAGTCTGTATAGAATACAAATATATTGTAAGTTTTGGGCATTATTATAATTCATTATTGTATATTGCTAACTCTTAGAGTTTATAATATATCAAGTTATCCTATACAAATTTCAACTCAAGTTCTTAGAAATATATACTGCAAAAGAATTATTAAGATTTTTAATCCTAAAAACCTAGAAAGATATGAGAAATTCACACAAAGCTATAATTAGATTTTTAAAATATGTGGTTATATAGGTTGCATTATAAAAAAAATAGAATTCAAAACAAAGCACTAATATTTTTTATAAATTAGCATCTGTTATCTGAAAGTTTAAGCACAATAAATGATTTTTTGTAGATTTTCAGGAAATGACAATGTGAACAGTTTATATTTCTAAATATATAAAATGTGAAAAGAAAGCATGAATCACTTAATTTTTGAGTTTATATCAAACAACTTCATATAATAACTAGTGTTCGATATCAAAACTTAATAACTGTTCTTATAAGAACAGAAAAATAGCTATAAGTCTATAAGTATTCTCAAACTATAGTTTGTATTTGCTAAAAAAAAAAAAACTTAAATATAATTTTTATAATCATTTCTCTATATAGTCACTTTCTATATAATTATACTATATAAAAAATTTCTTATATACCCAACTATGTAATTTTATAAAAGGACAACTATATTATATATACTATTTATAAAAACATTATTTTTATTTTACTGTTTTTAAAAAATTTTTAATAATAAACAGTAAAAAATTTTTACTATTCACAAACTTAAATTTATATTCTTATGAGAACTCTGAGAATATTAATTTCGAATACTGGTAATAACATGCATATTATATAAAATGTATTATATGTATCTTTAATATTCTTATAGTTTAATAATTTACATATTTGCATTTCTATATTTCTATATAATGATTTGGTTCAAAAAATAAATTCTCTAATTTCTGCTTTGCTTGATAATCTGATGAAATTGTTCTCTTAAATTTAGCAAAAAACTAGTATAGCAGATGTGGGCAGCTTTGTCACCAAGTTTAGTAATAAGCTAAATTAGGATCTTTTTGTTTAAAAATTTAAATTATATATATTATAAACTTTTTATATAAATATAGAAAATAAGCATTATAAGTAAAATTTTATTATGAGTATTTTTTTTAAAGTTCAGAAGTTAGTTATTAGTAAATTTTTGTAATTTATATATTTTTAATTTTTATTTATTTTGTATATAAATTTTAGAGTTTGTAAATAAAAGTTGATTTATAAATATTGTGTATTTATTTATTTTATTATTAGTAATTTTGGTTCTGATTGTAGTTGAAAGTTAAGAATTATAAGTATTTGAGTGATTAATATTTTTTATTTTGATTTGTTGTTATATATTTTTATTTTTTTATTTTCTAATTATATTGTTGTTTTGTTTTACTAATTCGATCATAAAGATTTTTTATGATTATTGCATGATTATGTGATTATATCATTTGAATTATAAAATGAGTATTTTTATTTAATTGTGAGGTGGATTGTGAGTTTAATTATTTTAGTATTCAAAGGTTTGGTTTGTTAATATTGATACTTTTTTTTGTTTTATTGATAAGAAATATTAGGTTCTTGAAGTTGTGAGATCAAGTAATAATTGCTTTATTTGGGTAATTTTGTAGTAAATGAATCTAAAATAATTTTTATTAAAAATACCTTCATTATTAAATTAAGTATATAGAATATTTAGTAAAAATCTATTTTTGTTAATATTTAATAGATTAGAATATTTTTATTAATTAGAACTTGATTATGTGGGCAGTTTTGCTACCCATAATATGCTAAATATAATAGATTTGTTTGCTTTATAAATTTAAGATATTTCTTTTCTGTTATTAGATGTTCTGACTTAAATTTAATGCACCAATTTGAGCCCTTCTGAGGTTAAAACTGATATATTAAATTTAAAGTATTTTTTTTTATTATATTTCCTTTTGAATTTGATGCACTAATTTGGACCCTTCTGGGCAAAGCTGATGCATTAAATTTAAAGCATTTTCTTTCTATCATTAGATGTTTTGATTTAAATTTAATTAGAGATATTATAGTTCTGCAAAGACTGTGGTCTGAACCAGTTTTTAGACTGGTCTAAGCAGTTTTCAGTCTGTAAATTGAGGATTGGTTAGGACTAGTTCATAGCTTATAGAATAATCTCATTGGCTAAAAAAATTACCAATGGCTGAATCAAATAAGTTTCTAATGTTATCTAATTTAGTAACTTATCAACTTACTCAGTAACTTGTTGATTCAATTGTCTTAGGATTATAATAATAGCTATAAATCAAAAATCCAAAATAAGTTACTAAAATATTAAATAATTTTTAAATACAAAAATAAACAAAAGACTAAAATTTATATATTACAGCTATTTTTATAAATTCTGAGATACCTAAAAATTTGCTTATCTCTCAAAACCTTTTTGATCTTGTTCTAAAAATCTTCTAACTTTTCAGAAATTACTTTGCTGTCTTTATTGAAATTCCAAATACAAAACAGTAGTTTCCAAAAAGTTAGATGATTTTTAGAACAAGATTGAAAAGGTTTCTAGAAACAAGAAAATTTTTAGGTATCTTAGAATTTATAAATGATGTTAATATAGTATATTATAAACCAATATAAATTTGTTAAACATAAATATAATAATACTGTTGTATATCAAGTTTTTACTGTAAATATATAGATATATATACTTTTCAAACAACTTGGTAGTGTCATTACTGATTAATATTATAAAACTTTGTCTTTTTTATATATAGTAGTCATTAAAAACAAAATAGCTTATAGTTATTTTGAAAACTGGCCAATAGACTAGTTTAGTAACTGGTTTATAAACTGGTCCTGAACTATGGTCTGATCTGTGGTTCTCTGCTAGAACTGGTCTTTAGAACCAAGACTGAACCAGACTAGACTATAACATCTCTAAATTTAATATACCAATTTGGACCTCTTCGGTGCCAAAGCTGATACATTAGATTTAAAGCATTTTTTTTGCTATCATTAAATGTTTTGTCTTGAATTTGATGCACCAAATTAGGCCTGAGGTTAAGCTAATATATTAAATTAAAAGCTGGTATATTAAATTTAAAATGTTTATTTGTTATGTGAAATGACTATATTGTAATCTGTACAGCTATAGAATTATAGTACAGTATAATTTTATCATCTGCCAAATAGAACAGTTACTAAATATTATCTCTTAAATTGTAGACCAACGCAGACAAATTTGCCTGTGTTGATACTATAAATATGCTACTGATCTATATTTTAAGTTTTAACTCTATTCAATAAGACCCAATTCTTATAGATACTCTGGAATAACTTTATATAGGTCTTCATAATACCAAATGTATCTTAAAACAATCCAATTCTCTTCGCATAATTCTTTTTAAGTTGATTCTGCTCTTGCTATTTAATGAAATTATTGGGATTGCTTCCATAAAAGAATTCTATATATTTTTCATACTATTCTTCTTGTATTTTGGTTGCAAATCTATATTGCGAGTAATAAATGTAAAGTTCTAATCCAGTTGAGTAATCTAAAGTTTTAAGAAAATAGAGTTGATATATTTTAGATAGCAGTTCAAGATATTTTAATATAATCTCTCAACACAATCTTTCATATTTATATCTAGATTAATATAGATACTAATAGTTTTTGTACTTAATACCACTGAGGGAGTGAGCTATTTATGTGATTTGAAATATCTTTAATTAGGATATTACACAGACTAATTAATCAAAACTATGTTAGCTATATTGATTATTTCATTATAATCAAATTTTTATCAATAAAATTAAAATAAAAATTTTACTTTACTTAATTATAAAGAAAAGCACAAAATTATAAAAGTATCACATAAATATTGTACTTACTTTTTTAATTTTTTTTAATTGAAAACTGTTCTTCAGAACTATTTCAAAGTAGCTATATTTGATTTTTGCTAAAGTTCTAATTAATTTTTGATTTATATATTTAATACAATTTTTTTTATCTTAATTAATAAATTTTTAAATATTCTATAAAGTGAATATTCAAAATCTATATATTAATAAAAAAAATAAAAATATGGCTTTATTCTTTGACTTTATATAAATAACTGGTAAAAATTTTAAAGCAATTACTTGTCTATATAATAAGTTAATATATTTTAAAATATCTAAA